TTATGGATCATACCCTTTTTATGATATTTCTACTTAATTAAAAATAGCTATTGAATTAACACTGGTGTAATTAACATTACGTTTCAGGTATGCAACAATATAAATCAACATCTGTATATACAACATACGTTCCATCATACCTTTTTTATTATTGATATGAAGTTGCCTCAATTTATAGTTTTTACCCTTGAATTACACCAACATCTGATTTTAATATTGACTGACCATGTTTATTTTCTTTTATAGTTTACTTCATACATTTTGCTCACTCCATTTTCAACTAATTTTTTTTTTTGGTGCAATTTTTAGCTTTTTATTTTGAAATTGAGGAATTTGCTGGAAGTTGCAAAGATGATATAATAAACTTCTTTGCACCCTTCATGCAATTTTTCATAATGGTTATTACTTATCTGATTATGATCAGCATGTTGACATTGGTAAAACATGCATGTCTAGTTCTAGGTCATCTTATCAAAGGCAGAGATTCATGTAATCACCAGGTGATTTAAGGCACAGCACTAGGTCACCACCACAAACATCATCTCATTCTGAATCCTATTTCCCTTTGCCTACTATTCCAACCCCTGGCAACTACGAATCTGTTTTCCATTTCTATAATTTTGTTATTTCAAGAATGTTATATAAATGGAATCATACAATATATGATCTTTTTAGATGGACATTTTTTTTCACAATGCCCTGGAGATCCATCTGAGTTGTGAATATATCAATAGCTCATTCTTTTTACCGAGTAGTATTCCATGGTACGGATGTTCCACAGTTTGTTTAACCATTCACCTGTAGAGAACATCTGGGCTGTTTCCAGATTTTGGAAATTACAAATAAAGCTGCTATGAACAATCATGTATAGGATTTTGTGTGGACATAAGCTTTCATTTCATTGGGATAAATACCCAGGAGTGCAATTGTTGGATTATATGGTAAGAATTTAGTTTTCTTTAAAAAAAAATCTGCTAAACTGTTTTCCAGAGTAACTATAACATTTTACATTTTCAATAACAATGTATAAGAGATATAGTTTCTCTACATCCTCACCACCATTTGATCAGGTTTCTGTTTTTTCTTTTTGGCTTTCTCTTTCATATTTCAATGAAATATGAAATACCATATTTCATTATGGTATTAATTTGCTAGTGACTGATGACATTGAATGTCTTTCATGTGCTTATTTGCCCATCATGTATCTTTGATGAAATAACTTGTCTTTTGCCCGTTTTCTAATTGGAATGCTTGTTTTTTTAGCTGTTGAGCTTTGAGAGTTCTTTATAAATTCTAGATGAGACCTTTATCAGATATGTCATTTGCAAATATTTTCTTTAAGTCTATAGCTTGCCTTTGCATCCTCTTAATGGGGTCTTTTACAGAGCAAAAGGATTTAATTTGGATGAAGTTTATTGTTTTTTTCTTTCACAGATCATACTTTCTTTAATTTGTTGATTTGATCAGGCAACATTGTACTTCTCTTTTCTGTTGAATGTTCCATTATGCATCTCCATTGCATCTGGAGTGACTTTTTTTTTTTTTAAAGATTTATTTACTTATGCATACAAGAGCTGGGGTACAGGCCAGAGGTGTGTGGGGGGGGGTTTACCAGAGACAGAGCAGGGAACAGAACAGGCAGACTGACTGAAATACACTGCTGAGGGGAGTAGTGGGCGAGTCAGGAGAGGTCTGTTGCGCCAAGTGTGTTGCTCCCTAGTCAGCCGGGGATCGAACTTGTGCTGCAGAGGCTGTGGACAGCTTCATAGGTTGCATCTTAACCCCTTGCACCACCAGGGAGGCCCTGGAGTGACTTCTAAAGAAGCCCACAGCCAGTAAGCACAGGGTTCCACTGATCCTCAGTGAGTGTTTTGAGATCCTAGGGCAGGAAACAAGTTTGTGCCTTCACAATAAGTTCTTTGGAGTAAGTCCACCTTCACACCTCTCAGAAGGAACATCAGAAAGCTGAGCTGTGGAGGCAGGAAGCAGAGGAAGGGGCCATGCTGACTCCAGGGATAGCTGAATATAGCTGTCTTTTCTGGCCATGAAGATAATTGCTGTAAGTCTTTGTAAGTTAAGAAACTGATGGCACTAAACACTTGACACCATCATCGAATTCTGTTCCACATTAACTGAACCCACTGATCCTAGCCCCAAGGGGACCTGGAGAGTTCACTTATGATAGGAAACATAATTTCAAAGAAGGCACTGTGGCCTCTTAAAAGGTGGTTTTTCTTAAAAGGTGACATGGGGCATGACCTGAAATCTCAAAGAATCTCAAGGGTCTGTCTTTTGGGGACAGGCCTTCCTTATCCATCATGATGGTTTGGTGGATGGAGATGGAGTGTCTGGGCCTGGAGCCACCTGGGCTGATAGTTCTTAGGTTAATTGTCTCCATCTGGTACTTGTCTGTCATTTCTGTTGTCTTCCAGAGGTCCCTTGTATTTAGGCCATAGTTGGTCTCTGCCTAGTTTTGATCTTATTTCTTTCTGAAGCATCATTACCTCTCAAAGAGCCGTGCCTCAGAAGGCCCAGTAGTCATTCAAGTCAGGCCAGGGTGTAGGAGGCTGAAGAGTGGCCGTGTGTGCCCCATCAGACTCTAAGCACTGGCCTAGCCTTCCTGTGTCTCAGTGTTTCCCTGGGGAACTTGTTGTCAGCAAGCCCAGATTAAGAAATCACTTGAAAATGTATCTCGGCATCGACGAGGGATTCATGAATTTGTCCTGCTTGTCTGGCATGATGATCATTTTCCTTTTGTGTGCTATTTTAAAAGAGGGCTACCAAAATGTGTCTTAGTGCAATGATCTGCTTCAATTCCATGGAGTCCATTTTCCAAATAGAAACACTGAACTTGTGCCTATAAAATTCTGTTCCTAAAGATTTACAGAATCTTGATGGTTTATGGTATCTGAGCTCAAAGGGAATTGAGAGAGGCCGTCTCTCTTATTTCCCACTAGGGACACCTAAGCCTGGCTGTGGCTGCCATGGCATAGCCTATCCCAGCCCAGAGCTCTTTCCTCTACTTGGGAGATTCCTGCCTTTGTGGTGTGAGCTGGGTGATCACAGAAGGGGAAACTCACATGGAGGGATGTCAACAAGAGAGTTTCATGCCATAAAATATGTCATTGTCCTTCTGTGTGATTTGTCCTCTGAGTTCATTCTCACACTGTGCTTTGTCAATGACCAGAACTTTATCCTTGGAGCCACTTTATATGTTCTCAATGATTGAGCACATCTTTTTTGAATATTTACTCATTTTTCTCCAACCTCCTTCCTTCCACAAATATATTACCACTCTATTTACATATATGTATTTATATGAAATATATACAGGTATATACATATTCGTGTATTTATATATTTTATCATGTATGCCTTTATTTATCTATAACACAGCAGTGAACCCCACAGACCAAATTCCTTTCCTCATGAAATTTTGCATTCTCATTTCAAGAGAAATAAAACAAAGAAAGTAATGAGGAAAATGTAAAGTATATCAGGTATGAAGGACTGTTATGGAGAAAAATAAATCCGGAAAAGGAGATGAGAAGGCTGGGTGGATGGAAGGAAGGCTGCAGTTGTGAAGAGGTTGCTCAGAGAAGCCCTCCAGGAGATGGCATTTGAGAGAAGAGCTGAAAGAGGCGAGGGAGAAGGTCCTGTGGGTATCTGCGCAAAGAGCATCTCTGGCAGGGGAAGGACAAGCACCAGCTCCCTGAACTGAGAGCCTTCCTGGGACATCAGCAAGGAGACCATTGTGGTGCAGCAAGGTGAATAAGGAAGGAGCATGGTGGTTGGGAGCCAGAGAGAAGAGATGAGGTGGGGGCTTGGGGCTCAAGCAGGCAGGCTGAGTATGTCACCCTCATGCAGGACTGGGAAGACCTTGCCTTTTACTGTATCTAATGAGGAGACATTGAAGGGCTCTTGAATGGCTGGGCTTTTGTTTTAACAAGTTTGCTCTGGCTGCTGCATGGAGTGGAGGATCTAGGAGGGCAGGAGCAGTGAGGCCAACTAGGGAGGTACTGCAGTGACCCCAGTGAGAGGTGGTGTCTTCTAGATCTGGGTGGAGAAATGCCAAGGGGGTCAGATGCTGGAGGTATTCTGGAAACACAGATGAGGATAAATTATGCTGAATGTTTGAGAGGAGAGGAAAGAAGACTGAGGGTTTGTTTGAATGAATGGAAACTTACTGTAGAAACTGGTAAAACTCAGAATACTACTGGCCATAGATACATGTTATTTAAAAAAAAACAAAAACAGATTTCTTGCTTTTCTTGAATAGTTGGAAGATCTGACATCAGTGTGTCCAATTTGTGCATAGCACAAATTTGTTAAGAGATGCATACACAGTGCTCTCTTGTAGAATGGGGCAATTATCCTCCATTTTGTTACAGTTCCCAGCCCCCTTGTAATATCCACCTGCATCACTCTTTACATTTCCATATTGCCTGCCTGGCCCCTGTAATCATTTGGTTTTGCAGATCTTGTATTCCAGGTGCTGTATCAGGCACTTCCATATGTCCTTACACACAACTTAACTGTTGAAAGCTCTGACTCTCACTTGTGTTTCTGGGACCACACCAACAGGAGGGGTTGGGGTGATGACAATTTTCTGCCCCTTCCCATTTGCAGAAGCTTTAGTCTCCTCCACAGCTCGGGAGACCCAGGGAATAACTCATGAATTTTCTCAACTGCTGCTAGCACCTCTGCTGAGCTTACATGTCTCTTCCGATTTCTGTGCTGTGTCCTGTTGTGCTGGACAGCTGGAATCAGCATTGCCCCTGCCTTGTGCTCACACAGCCTCATCCCGTTCAGTAGGGACCTAACCATATTGCATGCAAGTCTCAGTCCTGAATCACTCCAAGCTTGTTTCCATTTTATTTCCCTAGGAACGAGACTCATCCCTGGAGGCTCCTTGGTCTTTCTGCAGACAGTTCCTGACAGTCGATCTCTGTAATCCTCCAAATGTGCCAAGGCTGAATTGGGGAAGGAACATAGCACAGGCTCAGCTGAGACCTTGCTATGTGACCTTTTGTTCCACAAGTGGAAAAAGTAGGGAATTAACAATGAAAAAATAACAAACCCTTACAAGAGCTAATATATTATAGTCACATATACCTTTTATCTTAGTATCTCAGTAAATTAGCATTTTCCATTTTCTGTGTTTGTCAGAGCTCTTGTTCTATAGGATGTTCCTAGAAAAAGTGTTTCTTGGCCAACTAATTCTGTTTCTTGGAGCTTGAATTGGCCTTGATTTCATCTAACTTGTTCCTAAATTATGGAATGCTTTTATATACTGAATACCTTAAAATATGATTTAGAAACACTGTTTTGTTTATTTGCAGCCCTAGAGGAAACACTCTGGCTTTCCGAGGTGAAGATTTGTCTCCCAGGAGACATGATACGAGTGCAAGTGTGACTAATAGCCCATCTCTTCCAACTCCAATCTGACCCTTTGTCCAGGATATCAGTGTATTCTGCTCCAGCAATGTACACATCCTCATCAGTGATAATTCACTTTAGCAGTAATTTTCAGGGAACTTGAGGGGTGCTTGGAAAGTCCCCCAGTGCTGGCCTGTGACTTCGCATACATATATTTACAGATCTAGTTGACTCATAACCACTCTATTATTATTTTAGTTGCATCATATGTAGCATACTCATTGCTGCTTTAATTTTCATTTTTTTTTATTGTGAGAATCGTGTGTAATTATTAAAGAGAAGGTGGGGTAAAGTCGAAAAAGAGTGAAGAAAAAAATCACTTCTGCATGGAACTAGCCTAGTTAACATGGTGGTGTCAAGTGTGTACACACATGTACACACATGTGTGCATGCGATTAGGATGAGGAAACATCTATGTTTATGTCATGACTTCCTGTTTTGCTTGATATCTTATGCTTTGATCTCATTAACACTGTTGGAGAGTTGCTTTTCATGGCTGCGTGATGCTCCTCATCCAACCCTGAGAGCTGCCACTTGGCCATCTGGGACAGAGTCATGTCGTAGATTCTCCACACCATCTCCTCCCGCTGATGACCTGGAGAATCTGTGTCCAAATCTCCTTTGCTGTTTGATGGGGATCAAAGCCTGAGTTCTGGACAAAGGATATGGGCAGAAGTGAAGATCTGTGGCTGGCATAGCCCTCTAGTGTGGTTTGTCTTTTTCTTTATCAGTGAAGGTGGATGGCAAACCCCAGTTTGAAGCAGCCTAGGCCTGAGAGTCACTGCGTGGGGAAGGCTGCCTGGAGATGCACCATCTACATCTGGCTCTGAGTAAGAAATCGCCCTTTGTTATGTTGAGCCACTTAAATGTCACCACTTATTTGTTACCACATTGGAGTTGAGTTTTTTTCGATTTTCAAAATGAAGATTCAATGATCATACTTCCCTCCAAAGTAGTATATGATAGTTAATTGTCAGAACTTGGTCTTATCAAATTTGCTTGTTATTCTAACACATTGCTGTGAGTTTTATAGATAGTAAATAGAATTTTACTTCAATATGCAAGTTTTTGATTTCTAATGTTGAAAATATCCTTCATAAGGCCTCTCCAGGAGAAAAAATGGATGCTACTGGAGGGCAGGTACCAGCCTGGGAATCTTCTAACATCTCTGGCTTCTGTGATTCTTTCATCTTCATGAGTTGTGATTTCTTCAATTGAACTCTCACCCTTGCAAACAGGTTCCTTGTTGTCTTCCGACGAATCACCTTGTCAGTAGCCTCGATGAGCACTGCTGTCTCTGGATAGAAATGAAGATGACAATATTTCTCATTTCATGCTTCTTTAAGAGAAGTTATCTTCGTTTTCTAGGGTGAAGCCCTTAGTCACTCAGGAAAGCTTAATGAACTCCCATGGAAGATATAAGGAACTCACAGTTTATTGGGTTGGGTGGACAGATACATTTATCACAACAGACTCCAGGATGTTCTGAAAACAGCAGACCAGTAGGTTGTGGGAGCACAGAGATTAGGGGGTCACTTCTGCCTGGGACGCTGGCACATCCAAGCTGGAATGATCAAGCTGGATCTTGAAGATAATGTTCAAGGTGACATCTGAACTTGATCTCTGGCCCCAGGTCCCAGGCTGGGTCTCATCTTCCGTGTTCAATTCCCACAGCAGTCCCGCTAATGGAATATACAAGCCAGGTTTTCCTGTACTGAAAGGTGATCAAATCAGACAAATTGTAAATCTACAGCTGTTGTTTTGTCAGCATGTATATTTTTATAGAAAGGAGCAAATCTCTGCCGAGCTGGCCAAATAATCCTCTCTGCTTTTCCTTACTTGTTCCAAACTGTGAAAGAACGCCCTGGGCGAGGACCTGGTTTTAATCACCTTTGATTAACACAGAAGCTTTTGAAGGTAAAGGTACTTTCTGTAAACTGTGGCAGGGTCCCAAGGCGTTAACATTTCAGACCTTTCCCCAGAATGTAAAATGTTTAGAGCACAGCCAAGGTATCAAGCCCATAGAGACAACCCATCTCGAGGGGATTTACTTGAATGCCTCTGAATCATTCCTCAAAGAAATTTTTTGGTTTATTATTATTATTAATATTATTTAATTCTTGAAGAATTGCAGTCATGCAAAACTAGAGACTTCTGAGTTCAAAGAATATTTCAGCTTGCTCTTATTTTGTACAAAGGGAACATTTGTAAGAAAGATTTGGAGAAGCCAGAAAATGTCTTGGGAGTGATTCCAGAAATGACTTAGAGGCTGGAAAGATCTAGCCTAGAAAAAAAAGGGGGTTTGGGGGACTTTGCTGGGCACGATGGGGAAAGTCACTTTCTACTTGTAAGGAAATTCAGAGACAAAACACAAATGGTGGTTCCCAGCCCAGAGATTTTAGTAAGAGCTGCATGGCTTGGTTGGGGGTATAGGTACCTTGGGACATGAAGACAGCATGCGAGCATAGGTCCTGCAACACTTAAAAGCCAGAGCCAGTATCCATCTCTTGACCTGGTAAATATTAACTACTTTTAGAGGCAATATGGGTAGTTAATGCCTGACTTCTGGGGATGGGGCTCTGAGGAGTATAGGAGGGATGTGAATGAAATAGCAAATCCTTATGCTATTTTGTTTTCAGGAGCTCTAGCTTGGGGCATACATTCTGGTGGCCAAGGACCTGAGTGAACACTGAATAGAACAGGCTCGTGCAGCCTGGATTGGCTGAGGACATCACATGAATGTATTCTCTCTATTCTTTCTCAAGGTCAGACAGCACTAGCTCAGAGAAGGGGACTGGTAAGAGTACCCATCTGGGCATCATCTGACTGTGGGTGGTAGCCCCACGGTGGGGCTGCAGGAAATCACTATGACAAGACTATTGAGTAAGGAGAGGAAACACAGGAGTTGCCCCTTGAGCACTGCCTGCATTGCTGTGAGCAGAGGATACAGAAACTGTGCAGAAGGAAAATGATAGGGGCCAGAGAGGAGAGCAGAAAGCCAAGGTTACTTCATAGTCTTTGAGACTGAGTGTGGCTTGAGGTCCCCTCCCCTGAGGAGCCTGCTCTGGCCACTTTGCTGACTGTCCTAACCCACACATACACCCTTGGTGCTCCTGCTCTGCCTGGCTCTGCTACATGCTTTGCATAGACTTTCACCTGATAAACTATGATTTTTAAAAATTTTTAAAAATTGCTCTCATTGCTAAGATGTAAATTCAGGTGGGTAGGGGATGGTGGCTGTTTTGTTCTCATTGAATCTGTAGTGTCTGGAGAAATGGTAGGTCACAGCAAGTGCTGCTGATTGAACAGATGAGTGAGTGAGTGATGAGTGAGTGGGGCTTGAAGCCAAACTGGAATGGGTCTAGTGGGGAGTAAGAAATAAGGAGACGGTGACAGGGAGACAAGAAGGTCAGACACACTGTAAGACATATGACTGTGGGAATAGAAACATGGAAAGAGATAGATAGAGGGCTTGGGAGTAATTGGTGAGGGATTTAAGGTTGTAGATTGCTCAGGGATAGATTGAAGAGTATTCAAACACCAGTAAATAGTCCACAGCCATACCACCTTGAATGTACCTGATTTGTCAAAGGTCAATGAATTAGAAGGATTCAACTGAGAGGAAGAGGTTTAGTTAGAAGAGAGAAGGGATATTTAAGGTATGGCTTCTGAGAAATGTGGGGTGGAGACTAGAAGCTTGAGGGGAGTCTAAGCAAGATGGAGGATGTCTCATAGACAGGTGCATAGGTTGAAGAGCTATTGTTATAGGTAAAGAAGATATTGATGTTCTCTTCTAAAGACTTCATATTCCCTGCCAGTCAGAAGAGGGTAACACTCAGGAGCAAGGGGAGATGGAGTAGAGAGGGTCACGGCACATGATAGGCACTGGCTGTGAGAGGAGGGGCCCTGGGAGCTTGGTATTTGCACATAGAGGCCTTCTCATATCTACTGATGGTGCCTGACCCTTGGAATCTTGCAGAAGATAGAGAGGCAATAGCTCTGGGGTCCTGTTTTCACATGACAGAAACAAGCTCAGAAGATTGGAATGTACATGGATCCTGTATGATACAACCTCATAATTCATAGCCCAGCGAGTTGAGCAACCCACATGCTGCAGTGGGACCTGGCTCCCTATCGGGTGTTTCCTGGCAACCAGACACATACATAGATTCTGACCCATAAAGGCTACCATCTGATGTTTGCTGAGCTCAGTGCCCCCTGGGGTTCTTCCAATTTTGTGGCCCTTCCACTCTGGGTCCATGACTTTGTCCAACAGTGCTTGTTCATGTTTTATCCCTGACCCTTCCCGCCATGTCACATGGACATGGAATGTGAGCCCCTGTACCAGGAACCGGGGCCCTCACTGTGCTTTGTTGTGTGTTGGTCTTCGGGAAGTCTGTTCAGTCCATGAAAGATTAATCATGTTATTTTGAAAATTAGTAATTTTGATGAGGAGACATTTTGAAGAAATATGAAAGGTGTAGGAAATGGGAAGGGTTGGGGATGATGTGTAAGTGGTGACTTGAGGATCAGGGATGATCTAGACTCTGCCAGAACAAAAGATGGTGTAGAACTGTGGCCCCATAAGAGATGTGGTGAGGTCCTACCTTAAGTACCTCAGAATCTGATTTCATTTGGAGATTGTGTCTTTACAGAAGTAATCAAGTTACAATTAGGTTATCAGGGTGGGTCATAATCCAATAAGGTTGGTGACCTTTTTAGAAGATGAAATTTGAATACAGATAAGCACAGAGAAAAGACAAGGGAGGATAGAGGGAGAAGCCAGGCAACTACAAATCATGAGGAAAGCTTAGAACAGACCCTGCCTTCGAGGTCCTCAGGAGGAGTCCACTCTGCTGACATCTGGATCTAGAATTCTAGTCTCTAGAACTGTGAGGCGATGCATTTCTGTTGCTTACGACACTCAGGCTGCTGTACTTTGTTATGGCCGCCCTAGAAAATGAATTACAGATGGGGTGAGAATCAGGGGTTGGGTAATCAGGGATACGGGAAACACTAACAAAATTGGTAACAAAAGTGCAGTCTTCCTCCCCCTCATTTCTCAGGGGATACTTTGGCAGAAATGAGTCAAATTAGCAGGATCCAAATACCCTACTTCGCTTTGGACATCATTGGTAGGAGCCCCTTCTCCAGCCACTCTAGAAATGACCTCCACATGTAAGAGTTAAGACTGGTCTTGGAGAGGAGGGTAGGATGTAGAAAGCTGAGGCACAGTGGGGACAGCCTGGCCCAAGTGCGTCAGGGTGCTGTGGCTTTCAGCCAGACAGGGCTGAGAAGAGCTGGCAGGGTTCCTGGTGCCCCTGAAGGAAGTCTGCTCTGAGGTCAGAGAGCTAGTCCTTGGTTCTGTGGGACATGGCTCTGAAAAGGGAGTGAATTCCAAGGATCTGGAAGGTTCTGACATGGTTTGATATCACAAGGAACTGCCTGGTCTGTTAGAAGCCAGAACAGCCCCAGTCATGTTACTTAAAGTGCCTTCCAGTGAGATGGAAGGTGAAGCACCTGATGGAAATGAACACACGACAGTAGATTCTTCTGCTCGGGACGCAGACATGTCAGGTAGGTCTCACCATGGGTAATCTTGCTTAAACCTGGTTTCAACACTTTGACATAAGTAAATTGTCTTAGTGTTAGACGTAACACTGAGCTAGAAGACTGCTGCAAACATGATTAGATCACAAGCTTCCTGACTCCTAAACCTGAACTTGTAAGAAACACGTGTGGCTGTGAGGTTTAGGGCCCACTCATCAGTGTGGGGAACTATTATGGCAGAATTCGGTTTGGGAACGAGGCAGCACTCAGAGAGGAGGAAAGATCTTTATTTACACAGGATGGGCAAGAGGAGAGCTTTCTCCAAAGTTTGAGCCCTGAGCATTTAGGCAACACAGTATTTATTGCCTCAGCAGGGACACATTTGCACTTTAAAGCAAGCAGGGAGTACAGAAGCAGGAGGTTCCTAAGCAGTTATCTGGGTATAAGTCAGGTATGTGGCCTTGAGAACGATCAGTTATCCCAGAAACGTTCAGTCTACATGGAGGCTTTGTCTTAACATAACTTCAGCTAATTAACAAGTCAGCCTGACTCTCTACACTTCAGAACCACACACCAGATCATCAAGAATGAAGTCTTGGTCAGAGTTTGCATCTGACCCAGGATGCAGTAGCCAGAGCATTCTGAGCAAGAAGGACCACATAACAACACAAGGTGGATGCAGAGAAGAGTGTGTGTGTGTGTTGTTATGTGTTAAGGAGTGTCAATTTACTTGCTATGCAAGTAAATTGTGATAAGATAAGAGAAATAAAGAAGGAGTAGTTATTTGAGAGTATGGTGCCAGATGGAGGAGACTGGGGTCTCAAGGCTGGGGACTCCATGCTGAGGTCAAGGACAAGAAAAAAATAGAAAAGAACTTTGGGAGACTGTTCCTTTAGAGACTGACCTCGAGGTGGGTGACCTGTAGGGAGAGAGTGGGTAATATTGAACCTCTGATAATCTAAGTCTGTGAGCACATTAAAAATGTCAAAAATCCTGATTTTTTTTTTAAGTGACATTTTGTATAAGAATTTCAAGGAAAGTATAAGCCCATTGCTGGGGGTTAAGAGGGCAATTTTACAGATGACAGATAGAAAACAGAACTCCACTCCCCCTGTAATGCTTCTCCTTCTTTGTCAAGAGACATTAAGCTGAAAAGGACTAAAGGAATATTAAGCTAAAACTTAAAAAAAAGTGAAAACTTTTGTTAAAGGGCTCAGTGCTCTTCTATGTGCAAAAAATATGCATTCCTGGCCCAG